ATTGGTGTCAGTAGGAGGAATAGTGTCCCATCATTGGTGTCAGTGGGAGGAATAGTGCCCCATCATTGGTGTCAGTGGGAGGAATAGTGCCCCATCATTGGTGTCAGTGGGAAGAATAGTGCCCCATCATTGGTATCAGTGGGAGGAATAGTGCCCCATCATTGGTGTCAGTGGGAGGAATAGTGCCCCATCATTGGTATCAGTGGGAGGAATAGTGCCCCATCATTGGTGTCAGTGGGAGGAATAGTGCCCCATCATTGGTGTCAGTGGGAGGAATAGTGCCCCATCATTGGTGTCAGTGGGAGGAATAGTGCCCCATCATTGGTGTCAGTGGCAGGAATAGTGCCCCATCATTGGCCCCATCATTGGTGTCAGTGGGAGGAACAGTACCCCATCATTGGTATCAGTGGGAGGAATAGTGCCCCATCATTGGTGTCAGTGGGAAAAAAGGGTGTCCATAATGGTGAAAGCGGGAGGAATAGTGCCCCATCATTGGTATCAGTGGGAGGAATAGTGCCCCATCATTGGTGTCAGTGGGAGGAATAGTTCCCCATCATTGGTGTCAGTGGGAGGAATAGTTCCCCATCATTGGTGTCAGTGGGAGGAATAGTTCCCCATCATTGGTGTCAGTTGGAACAACAGCGTCCCAAGGGCCGGATAGAGGCAAACAAAGGGCTGCATCTGGCCCCCGGGCCGTAGTTTGGAGACCACTGCTGTAGATGAACTCTTAACATGCAGTAATGTCAGATTGTTTTTCTCCAGCTTCCGGATCGTCTCCAGCAGACTTGTTGTTTTGTTGCCTTAACGAGTTTTTCGCCTTCAAATCTCAAGTCACATTAAATACGACTGGAGATGACAGTTCAATTAAACTCCTCCATGAATCTTGACAGGTAACTCACCTTCCAAATGACCTCACCAGAAACGCCATAGAAATGAGTTCCATCTGTTTAATCACGTTGTGCAAATCTTCGGACTTGATTATCAGCTCGGGATATGACTTCATATTATGGAATTATTTATTGTGTAAGACTTGCACAGGGAGGGATAAAAGTGACACTCCAAGCAGACATGTGCGCTTCCTTGTGTTCCAGATCGAAATTTCGACACATTTTTTCATTATTCGGAAATTCGGATGTATTTGAATTTCCGAACCACAATAGTAACAAAAACGAAATTCGAATTAGAAACTAATTTGACTGGATTTTATATTGAATTCGACTCAAATTTTAATGCAAAAAAAATAGAATAGAATAAAAAAGAATAGAATAGAATACAAATTTAAATAATAGAATGGTATAGAAAAAAAAATGTAAAAAGAAGTACTGGTCGGGCTTCCCCAGCCGTGTTTAGAGCTGCACAACCGTATATGCATTGGTGGTCGAATTTTTCAAGTTCTGGTTCCATCCATCCACCTTTATTCTGGGTCATACAGCGCAAGAGACGTCGTTTCTGCTTTTATTAAAATGTCTTTTGCTACATTTTTTTGGTGAAAAACACCCCGAATGAATGTATATTATTTAGTCTGTAGGAAAGTTATAGAGTCCACAACCCTGGTATACATCTGAAAATCTATCAATCCTGATGTACCGACTGCCTATCTTTTGTTTTCTTTTCAAATTCGATTCGACTGAATTCTGAAAATTCTTAAATACGAACTAAGACTGGGAGTCCATTAAAGTCCATGTGCTTGTAAAGGCCGGCGGCCCAATACGTTTGGCAATATAGTGTATATACAGTATCTCCCAGAAGTGAGTCCCCCCCTCACATCTTGGTAAGTATTTTATTCTATCTTTTCATGTGACAACACTGAAGAAAAGAAATGCCCGTAGCGAATAGGGAAGAATGGAAATAGCGCAGGGCATACATGACTAGGCCCAGAGTGGTGTAGGGAACGGAAAGGGTTAAATTTAGCTCCAGGGGGTGGGGATTGATTGGGGAATTATAGCATTGGCCAGATGTGGAGTGTAGGTGGGGTTTGTGGTACCTTAGGGTGGGGGGTTCTGTGGAAGGGGCGTCAGTGGAGCTGGACGTAGCAAGGAACAGAGCTTCCCTCCCGCCCTCCCTGTTTGGTTGGGTATAGGGTCTCGTCCGGAGGCAGGTGAGAATACAAAAAAAAAAAAAAAAAAATAATGGCAACCGGGTTGGAAAGGGGGTTTTTTTCCCGTTGGTTCGTGGGCGGTTGTTGGTCTTTGGAGGCGGTTCTCATCTTGGAAGGTAAAACAATGGTGTGGGACCCCATCCGTGGTATGGGGGGGCCCGGTGGATATTCCCAGTTAACCAAGGTTTAACTGGAAGGTGGTGGTGGTGCTGCACTGCGGACGGTATGGTTGTCTCCGAGCTGGTTGGTTGCGGCTGGAGGCCTAGTGTATAGGGTTGTCCGCAGGTGCATTTTGGATCGTTTGTGGGTGCCTTTGAAGACCAACAACAATTCTTTGGTTTCTGTTAAGGAACGGTTGATGTATGTTAAAAATGTGAAGTTGTTAATAAAAGGCCATGTTGGCCATTTACTCCAAATGGTGTCATGTTTTTTGTAAAGTTTAGTCGGTGAAGGGGGTGGGGAGTGGTATGGATAAGTAAAGGTGGAAGTCGGAGTGGACAAGCCTATCTATGGTGCATTAGTCATGACACTTTGCTACAATGTGACGTAGTCAGTGTACAGCTTGTATAACATGGAAATTTGCTGTCCCCTCAAAATAACTCAACGCACCGCCATTAATGTCTAAACCGCTGGCAACAAAAGTGAGTCCACCCCTCCCCCAGACTGTATACAATGTGTGTGTATGTATATATATATATATATATATATATATATACATAGTATCTCCCAGAAGTGAGTCCACCCCTCACATTTTTGTAAATCTTTGATTCTATCTTTTCATGTGACAACACTGAAGAAATGACACTTTGCTACAATGTGACGTAGTCAGTGTACAGCTTGTATAACATGGAAATTTGCTGTCCCCTCAAAATAACTCAAACACACCGCCATTAGTGACACCGGGGAGGAAAAATGACTAATTGGACCCAATTTGGACCTTGTCACTTAGGGGTGGAGTCACTTTTGTTGCCAGCGGTATATATATATACACACACACATTGTATACAGTCTGGGGGAGGGGTGGACTCACTTTTGTTGCCAGCGGTTTAGACATGAAGGGCGGTGTGTTGAGTTTATTTTGAGGGGACAGCAAATTTCCATGTTATACAAGCTGTACACTGACTACGTCACATTGTAGCAAAGTGTCATTTCTTCAGTGTTGTCACATGAAAAGAGAGAATCAAATATTTACAAACATGTGAGGGGTGGACTCACTTCTGGGAGATGCTGTATATATGTGTGTGTGTGTGTATATATATATATATATTGTATACAGTCTGGGGGAGGGGGGGGCTCACTTCTGGAGGATACTGTGTATATAAATCCTGTATAATAATATATATATATACACACACACACTGTATATATCTCAAAGAAGGGTTGCAGCAGCACATTTCTTTTGCTCATTCAATAACATATATTACCAGGGGCGGACTGGCCATTCAAGCACTAGGACACTGCCCAAGGGCCCGGGGTTAGTAGGGGGCCCCATGAGATGCCCCTGGTACCTTTTATAGGCTTTTTTGGGTGTGGGCGAAGACACAGTGGCCCCATGATCCCCTATTGCCCGGGGGCCCCATGAGTTGTCAGTCCACCCCTGTATGTTACAGCAACATTTCAGGCATCCCAGCTCTGTATCATCCAAATCAACAGCAGTATACAACATGATGACGTCGGATGGAGCATACAGAGATACAATGTAATAACTGAATAACAAAGAGATGCCTGATAATCACATATATCAACAAGATCTGATGATTTAAAAGGATCAGCCGGATATGTCTGAATCCAAAAAGAGATCTGTGGGTGTTCTTTCAGAGAGGCAGTAAGTTTACCGCCTTATGAAAAGTGATCTGTGGTGGATTGCTTTTTCAGAGGGCAGTATAGCGGTGGCTTCCAGGTTTTAAGGAGATACTACTGCTGAAGCCGAATTTATCTTTTTTTTTTTTTTTTTTTTTAATTGCCAACCAGCAATCTTACATTGCCAGAATGCACTTGCAACTGCAATCGGTGAGTTTGACAAGAGGCGTTGCCTGTCAAACTCTGTGGCATAGCTGGATTGGGGGGCCGCTGGGGTGGGCTTCCCTCCTGGGTGGGCTTCCCTCCTGGGTGGGCTTCCCTCCCTTCCCTCCCGGTTCCCCCCCCCCAGATTTTCAGCCTATCCCTGGATTTCTCTATAGTCTTCCTCCTACCCTGACCTCTTCTGGTCTCTGGATTGTGATTTTTGCCTGCAGCCTCCCCCAACCCCTGCCTGTCCCTTGATTACATTACTGTCTGCCCCCCCCCCCATCCTGACGTCTGCCAGCCCCTAGACTTCCCTACGAGTGATATACCTTCTGGACCAGCCATCCTCCTTGGAGGAGTCATGCAAATATCAAAATGCCTTGATAGCTGGAGGACATTCCTCAATAGTGGGTATTCCTAATGAAACTGCATATTCACACAGACCACCCTAAGTAACACCCACATGTGATGCTGATCCTCCATGATTGAAAGAACTGAAATACAATGAGTGAAAGGGGCGGAACCAGGGACAGTTGGGTTGGGGCAGAAAGTGCTAGATGATGCTGGACGTTACCCCAGCCAGGAAATGAGGCAGAGCTCTGTCTGACTTGCTGCAGCTTCTGATGCAGATTATGAGAAGCTCCCAGTGTTCAGTGAAATCAGTTAGCCGTTTCAGTCCAGGAGAGGAGCCGGTACACCTGTGCAAGAATGAAGGGGAGGAGCTGTACACCTGTGCAAGAATGAAGGGGAGGAGCTGTACACCTGTGCAAGAATGAAGGGGAGGAGCTAGTACACCTGTGCAAGACTGAAGGGGAGGAGCTGGTACACCTGTGCAAGACTGAAGGGGAGGAGCCGGTAAGCCTGTGCGAGACTGAAGGGGAGGAGCCGGTACGCCTGTGCGAGACTGAAGGGAAGGAGGAGGTACAACTGTGGAAGACTGAAGGGGAGGAGCCAATACACCTGTGTAAGACTGAAGGGGAGGAGCCGGAATACCTGTGCAAGATTGAAGGGGAGGAGCCGGTACACCTGTACAAGACTGAAGGGGAGGAGCCGGTACACCTGTACAAGACTGAAGGAGAAGAAGCGGTACACATGTGCAAGACTGAAGGGGAGGAGCCGGTACACCTGTGAAAGACTGAAGGGGAGGAGCCGGTACACATGCGCAAGACTGAAGGGGAGGAGCCGGTACATCTGTGCAAGACTGAAGGGGAGGAGCCGGTACACGTGTGCAAGACTGAAGGGGAGGAACCGGTAAACCTGTGCAAGACTGAAGGGGAGGAGCGGTACACGTGTGCAAGACTGAAGGGGAGGAGCCGGTACACCTGTGCAAGACTGAAGGGGAGGAGCCGGTACACGTGTGCAAGACTGAAGGGGAGGAGCCGGTAAACCTGTGCAAGACTGAAGGGGAGGAGCCGGTACACCTGTGCAAGACTGAAGGGGAGGAGCCGGTACACCTGTGAAAGACTGAAGGGGAGGAGTCGGTACACCTGTGCAAGACTGAAGGGGAGTCCGGAGGGGGAATTTAATAAATTGGATAGCAGGAGTGACTGGCGACCAATTACTGAACCAACAGCATAAATGAATTCATTAGGTGGAGGTTTCATTAATCCTCATGTGGTCACACAGGCAGATCTTCTAGTCTGGCCCTAGGACAGGGCTGCTGTATCTCTATGGAGTAGTTCTGTCGGGAAATGTCATCTCTGCGATAATGAGAGGACTCCGCTCTTCAGTTGAATCATCTCCTCCTGACAGGAAGATCGTCCGGCATCTTTTAATTACTGGATAATTATGGAGAAAATTAAGATCACGTCCGCCCGGGAGATCACAGACAACACACAGCACTCAGCTGAGGAAAAACACAAAACTCCATCCTATACTGATAGTATAAATAACACATGGGACGCACAATCTGTATCTACTATATACAATATTGTCGTTTCATTCTGAATCAAAATTTGGACAAAATTTTCATTATTTGGAGATTTGGATGGATCCGAATCCCTGAATGACAATAGTTACAAATTTAAATGGATGGGTGGCAAGCTCAGGGGTGGCAGAGCTGGATGTCACTGCTACCCCTAACAGCCGGGAGGGCAGACCATCAGGGAGGGGTGGTGAGGGTAGTGCAGGAAGGCTTAGACAGCTGGTGGTAGTAGGGGATTCTATGATCAGAAGGACTGATAGAATAATTTGTCGCCAGGATCGCCTCAACCGAATGGCTTGCTGTCTCCCTGGTGCCAGGGTTCGGCATGTGGTGGACAAATTACTGGGAGGGGCTGGGCATGACCCAGCTGTCTTGGTCCATGTTGGAACCAATGACAGAATACATGGAAGGTGGAGGCTCCTTAAGAATCAATTTAAAGAACTCGGCTGCAAGTTGAAGGAAAGGACCTCCAAGGTGATATTCTCTGAAATATTACCTCTGCCATGTGCAACTCAGGAAAGACGGGGAGATTAGAGAACTTAATGCATGGCTGAAGACCTGGTGTAAGAGGGAAGGATTTGGGTTTCTGGAGCACTGGGCTGACTTTTCATTGGGGTGCAACCTATATGCTAGAGATGGTCTGCACCTAAATGGAAGGGGGTCTGCTGTGCTGGGGGAGGGGTTTATGGGAAGGCTGGAGGAGTATATAAACTAGGATCAAGGGGGGAGGGAGAATGAGATGATAATGGGGCAGACAGATCAGACAGGGGTCAGTACTTATTGGTGGGTGGAATGGGGAAAGATGGGGGGAAGGCTATGGCAGATGATAAGAAGGTTCCCATGTTACAAACAACCAGTGGAATTGGTAACATTTGTACAAAAATTTAAAATATGCAAAATACGTGTAAACAAGGTGTCAATGAAAGAAAGTTTTTGTTCACCAATGCCAGGAGTCTGACAAGCAAAATAGATGAGTTGGAAGCTTTGGTGCATGAAGAGAATTAGGATTTAATTGGTATTGCTGAATCTTGGCTTCATTCTTCACATGACTGGGCCATTCATATTCCTGGCTATGTTCTCTTTCGGAAAGACGGGGTAAATAGGAAAGGTGGTGGTGTCTGTCTCTGTCTGAGAAGTGATCTCAGAGCGAGTGTGAAAGAGGACCTAGTTGATGGAGAGTGTGATGAAGCTGAAGAATTATGGGTGGAACTGCACATGGGGGGCGGTACTACAAAGGTAATCATTGGAGTTTGTTATAAGCCTCCCAGTGTTAATGAGGAGGTGGAGACTCAGCTCCTGACACAGACTGAAAGGGCTGCAAGGGCTGCGACAGTGATAATAATGGGGAATTTTAACTACCCGGAAATTGACTGGAGTAATGGTACTGCAGGAACAGTTAAAGGGCAGAAACTTCTATATCTACTACAGGACAATTTTGTGATACAGTTCAGAAAGGCAACAACTAGGAATGATGCTCTGCTGGAATTGGTAATCTAAAACCATGCAGAGCTTATTACGAATGTCCATATAAAAGAACATCTGGGAAGCAGTAACCATAACATGATTTCATTTATTGTTAGCTGCAAACAGCAAGCACATACAAGGAAAAAAAAAAAACCACTAAACTTTAAGAGAGCTAATTTTCCAATCTGAGAGCTGCTCTCCAAGACTTAGACTGGGAGGGAATATTGGCATTGATGAACAGAACATAGAAATGGGAGTTCTTCAAAAAGACTGTATGTGACCACACTGCAAAATATATTCCCATGGGCAACAAGTTTAAAAGGCTAAAAATCAAACCTATGTGGCTTAAAAAGTTATACATAATAAGAAAAGAGCTTTTATTAAATAAAAAAATGAAGGAATTCTACCATTGTTTAAACATTACAAAGAATATAACAGAAAATGTAAAAAGGAAATCAAGGCCGCAAAAATTGAAAACGAACGACAGATTACAAGAGATAGCAGGACCAACCTCAAACATTCCTCGAAGATATGAATAGTAGAAAGGTCTGGTCCGAGCATGTAGGCCCTTTACAAAATAATCTAGAGGGGGTGACTGGGGACAAAGAGAAGGCAAATTTATGGAATCCCTTCTTCAGCTCTGTGTATACAAAGGGGCATGGGGGGCTCTTGTCCATAATGGGTATGGTACTGACACAGCTCCAGATGACCCACATTGGCTCACAATTGATATGATCCAGAAATATTTAGACAGAATAAAGGTGAATAAAGCCCCTGGACCGGATGGCATACACCCACGGGGCCTTAAAGAATTGAGCTCTGTCATTTCACAGCCATTGCTTCTAATTTTTAGGGACTTTTTAATGACTTACATAGTACCACTGGATTGGTGTAAGGCCGATGTGGGGCCAATATTTAAAAAGGGGTCAAAATCTTTAACAAGTAATTATAGATCTGTGAGTGTAACTTCTATAGTTGGGAAGATACTGGAGAGTTTAATAAAAGACCACAGAAATGAGTTCTTGCTGGAAAAATATATTTTAAGCAACAGACAGCATAGATTCATGAAAGACAGAAGCTGTCAAACAAATCTGATTTCTTTTCATGAAGAGGTAAGCAAAACCTTGGACAGAGGGGTGGCGGTGGATATGGTATACTTGGACAGAGGGGTGGCGGTGGACGTGGTATACTTGGACAGAGGGGTGGCGGTGGATGGGGTATACTTGAACAGAGGGGTGGCGGTGGATATGATATACTTGGACAGAGGGGTGGCGGTGGACGTGGTATACTTGGACAGAGGGGCGGCTGTGGACGTGGTATACTTGGACAGAGGGGTGGCGGTGGACAGGGTATACTTGAACAGAGGGGTGGCGGTGGATATGGTATACTTGGACAGGGGGGGTGGCGGTGGATATGGTATACTTGGACAGAGGGGTGGCGGTGGACGTGGTATACTTGGACAGAGTGGTGGCGGTGGACGTGGTATACTTGGACAGAGGGGTGGCGGTGGACGTGGTATACTTGGACAGAGGGGTGGCGGTGGACGTGGTATACTTGGACAGGGGGTGGCGGTGGACGTGGTATACTTGGACAGAGGTGTGGCAGTGGACGTGGTATACTTGGACAAGGGGTGGCTGTGGACGTGGTATACTTGGACAGAGGAGTGGCATTGGACGTGGTATACTCCGACAGAGGGATGGCGGTGGATGTGGAACACTTGGTCAGAGGGGTGGTTGTGGACGTGGTATACTTGGACAGAGAGGTGGCTATGAATGTGATATACTTGGACAGAGGAGTGGCTGTGGACGTGGTATACTTGGACGGAGGGATGGCAGTGGACGTAATATACCTAGACAGAGGTGTGACTGTGGACGTGGTATATGTGGACAGAGGGGTGGCGGTGGATGTGGTATATTTGGACAGAGGGGTGGTGGTGGATGTAGTATACTTGGACAGAGGGGTGGCGGTGGATGTAGTATACTTGGACAGAGGGGTGGCGGTGGACGTGGTATACTTGGATTTTGCAAAAGCATTTGACACAGTTCCCCACACACGGGGAATGTGTAAAGTAAAGTCTACAGGCTTGGAAAAATCCGAAAGTATATTGATAGAAAACTGGCTAAAAGATGGTATTCAGAGAGTAGTGGTTAATGATTCATACTCTGAATGGTCTAGGGGTGTCAGTGGTGTACCCCAAGGTTCAGTGTTATTAGTGGGGTACCCCAAGGTTCAGTGTTGGGACCCTTACTTTTTAATATATTTATATACAATATAGGGTCTGAGATTATAAATCCCATTTCAGTCTTTGCAGATGACACCAAGCTGTGCCGGGGAATAACGTCCTTACAGGATGTCTCCAATTTACAAGCCGACCTCAATGCTCTGTGTAATTGGGCAACTATGTGGCCAATGAGGTTTAATGTTGATAAATGTAAGGTTCTGCACTTGGGAGCTAAGAATATGCATCCATCATACATACTAGGGGGGGTACAACTGGGGGGGTCAATGGTGGAGAAGGATCTGGGGGGGTCAATGGTGGAGAAGGATCTGGGGGGGGTCAATGGCGGAGAAGGATCTGGGGGGGGGTCAATGGTGGAGAAGGATCTGGGGGTTCTGGTAGATAGCAAGCTTAATAATGTCATGCAATGCCAAGCGAGCAAAATCCTCTCTTGTATTAGGAGAGGTATAGACTCCAGAGAGAGAGATATCATTCCCCCGGTACAAATCATTAGTAAAACCTCATCTGGAATATGCAGTTCATATTCACAAAAAGAACATTGGGGAACTGGAGAAAGTACAGAGAAGGGCAACCAAACTGATAAGAGGCATGGAGGCGATCAGCTATGAGGAAAGATTAGAGGAACTGAATTTATTCTCTTGAGAAGAGGAGATTAAGGGGGGATATGATCACCATGTATAATCCATAAGGGGGGATATGATCACCATGTATAATACATAAGGGGGGATATGATCTCCATGTATAATACATAAGGGGGATATGATCTCCATGTATAATACATAAGGGGGGATATGATCTCCATGTATAATA